ACTTGCCTTCGTCGGGCTCGACTCCTGGATCATATCTCGTGTCGATTTTTGTATTGAAGTTGGCATAAAACTCCTTCACCAGATTTTTCATATACTGGATGCGGTCTTTCAATTACTTTCTCCCAACCACAGTTGTGGATTAAATAAACTAATTCAAAATCGGGGAAATCTTCCAACTTAACTGGCCTTTCGGGGATGAGTGCCCACTTGTAGACAACATTGGTGTAACGGGCTGCCGTGTCTGATGATAGAAATCTCCTGACACTTCCTTCAGGCTCTCTAGTCCGAGCTGTGCCAGATGCGGAACCAACCTTCTCTTTTTCCTTTTGATATTCTCTTTGGCGGCATCTTGCAAAAGTGCAAAAATAACATTCATTAAACTTCTCGTTGAAAAACGATAAAAGGAATGAGATTAGTAAGACATGTATTTCACAAATCCCCCAAATTTGCTTCAACATGCATATATAACACATTGGTTTGCAATCTTTAAAATATGATATTCAAGATAGTATAAATATTGCGCCAACAGGAAAAACTAGGAAATTTAGGCCTAAACATGCATATTATAAAAATTGGACCCATAACCGAGTGCGCACTTTTGGCTCCGGATATCATCGAAAAATATCAAAAATTTCCTACTCAATCTCCTAGAATATGAAAGTATTCAATGAGGTCTAGTACATGCTCAAACTTCAAATCAATTGGACTTCGTTTGGTATGTCAAATTATGTGCCAAAGTGGGTGACGTGAGGTGCTGTGACATGCCGTGACCTAGCCATGTGCCTACATGTTGCAAAATGAACTTAATGTTTTACATGGCCTTTCATATGATGTCTCATTACCCAATTGCTTTTTCACATCAATTGTAATGTATGACAAAAGCAAAGTTTACAAAATTGCATAAAGCTTGTCACATAGGCATTTAATTGAACATATTGTGTGCATTATGAATTTTTCTTAACTTTTCCATTTGGTACTTTAGAATCTACCTTCTTTTCCACAAATAAATCACAAATATAGCACTTAATGTTCACAAATTACAGAAAATTAAGACAAACCAAATCCCAAAATTCAAAATTGTAAAGTAATGTGTATGGTGCTTACCTTGGAAACTTTAGTAGACTTGTAGGAATTGAACCCTTTGCTCACTTCAAATGTGTGATGGATGTATGTATTGATGTCGTGGATTGAGGGTTTGAGCGAGTGTGGGTGCTAGTGTGTGCATGGGTGCTAGAGATGGGCAAAGGGGGAGGGG